TTCCTGAAGCAAACCGCTTTTTAATAAGTTTCGCCCTTCTTCCTCCCCCCTCTGCACCCCCCCACCCCTCCCTCCGCTCCCCCTCCCCGGCCTGCCGAGCCCTTTCCGGCACTCCAGCTTCTCCGACTCTTAGAGCAGAGATTCCGCTCTGGCCAAGCCCACGGGCAAAGGAAGCCTCGGGGACTTCCTTCCGGGATGTGCCTGGGCTCCCGGAGCCCGAACCTCCGACGGGGGTCGGGGGGAGTCCTGGCGGCTGAGAGCTGGGGACGGAGCCCCGGGCTGGCCTGGCCTGCGGCCGGGAGGACTTCAGACACTGCACAGTTAATATTGAGTTCCCTATAGCTCCTTGTAAATCTAGCGCCCACTCCACCCTCCCTCCCCCTTTAAATCTTCGGTCGCGTTCGCGATTTCTTACTTGACGTAGAATTCCTGGTTACCTAATCACGGACCTTTTTCCCCCGAAGGGCCTCCCCCTCCCCCGGCCTGCTCAGACCAGTCCCCCCTCTCCCCACCTACCCCCCCCATCTAGACGACCAGCCAAAACCTCCTTTCTCCTGGTCTTTTCTTCCCTCTCTTGGATGAAAGCCCTATATTTTGAATTAAAAACTCTAGACTAGTTCCTGCGGCTGCAGTAACGCGTGGGTTTCTCCCCAAAATGACTTCAACCGAAAATGGCTCCTCAAACAAAAGCCCCCCCCCCCACCAATGGCATCTGGTTGATTTCAGGAAAAGAAGGACACCTTTCCACCTTCTGAGCAAACCACCCAGGCCTCTCTCTGGCCAGACCCTCCTTCCACAGCCCACTCAGTGCTCTCCTGGGGGCCAGGGGCAGAGGGAAGGGAGGCAGGACTCGATGGCGCCCAGGCCCTTTGGCAGGATTTTCACCAAGAACACTTCTCTTTAAAGGGCCTCCTCGCCAGCCCTGCGAGGCCGGGAGCTCACGTTGATGACTGGTCCGAACCACTGACTCTATCAAACAAAGTTAGAGGCAATCATGATAATTTAGTTTACTTCTGAATATTTTAAATATAATGAAAACAAGTATAACAGTTTTGTTTTCAAAACTCTTTTGAGGTATCCACCATTAAAAGATTGGGGTTTTGTAAAAAAAAAAACACACAGTGGTTTATTGAATACTTACAACGTTTACACCTTCAATATTAATTAAATTCCACTTAGTTTTAGAGGACGGAAGTGCACAAAACAAGTAGCTGTTGGAAACATCTTCACATAGGGAACCACCACAGATGAAACGGCAGCACTAGATACCGACCCCAACGGAAATGTTAGCGGCCCCGTTTTCTGCTTTGAAATAAAACTTTATAATCCCCAGGAATATTTATATCCGAAGGCCAAGTATTAAAGATACACTTCACATACACACTATTGTCCGCTGTCTTTATCTGGAAGGGGTTGGGGAGAGGGCACCGCTGGTGTCTACACAGCCAGGAGGAAACATTCACAAACAGAGAATCTACGAGACGCCGGGATCCCTTACCACGCGGGAGTGTCCTCTTCATATTAAAATATGGAATGCTTTTCTTCAAATATCCACTTTGTTTTTGGAGGGGAAGGTGGGGAGCGGATGCCTCGAAGGGGGGCAAAGAGAGGGAGGCACATTGCACATAAATAAACCGGATGATCCAAATGCAGGAAGTCCTCAGAGCGGAGCGCGCGGAGCTTGCCCGGAGTCCTGGGTCTGCATCCGGCTCCTGGGCCCGGCTCGCACTCTCCTCCTCTGCTTCTCCTTCTTCTTCTCCTCCTCCTCTATCCTCTCCCTCCTCCTTCTCACTGCTTGAGCTCTAGGGCCCAGACGTGCTGCGGCCAGCCCGTCCGGCCTTTGGTTTTCTTGTCGTTGCTGCTTACTGTGCTTTTCAAGATTTCGTTCTGGGCAGAGGGGAGGCGAGGGGGAGAAAAAGAGAAAGAGAGAATCAGAGAGGAGACCCGGTTCCACGCCACCCCCACGCTTCTTCCGGCCAGAGGAGAGAGTAAGAGAGCCAGCCAGGGATGACGTGTGGGATGCTTTCAAGTCCCAGCCCCGGCAGAAGAGCTACGGAGGCTGGCCGCTGCCCTAGCTCCCGCCCGGGGCCTCCAGACGCCGGCCGCGCTCAACTCCCGATCGGCAGGTTTATAAACAACCACCCGTTTTCATGTCGTTTATGGAGGAACCGGGGGCCTTCTCTCTAAATCCAGATGTAGGGGCGCGAGCGGGGGTCATCGCAGCCCCAGCTCCGCGCTCTAGGGAAGATGGGGTGAGGTGCCCCTGCCTTGGCCTGGGCCTGTCCGCGTGCAGCTCGGCCTCCGGCTCGGTTCGGCAGTGCCTCTCCTTCCAAGGCCTCTGAAATCCCCGGTTACTCGGGGGACTGAGTAGCGACTAAAGCGCCATAGGCCCCAAAGAAGAAAACCTCGACAAATGGGACAATTTTCCAGGCCCTTCGTGGCAATAGCCCTGCTCTGAACACCACTACCCTCTGGGCACCTGGTAGGAACTTGAGAAAACTAATTTTCAGTTATAATTTCCTGTTACTGTTAACAACAATTACAGTGACCAAGGTAATATTTACTATTTGTCTTAAAACGTACAGGCTCATGCAAACTAAACAAGAAATACGGTGAAGTATACTCATCCGGGAAGTCACATTTTAGTCTCACTGCCAAAGAGAAACTACATTTTGAAGTTAAAAGTACTTATTTAATGTTTACCTTGACGTCTTCCCGGCACAGAAATCAGAACAAGCATAAGATTCTTAGGATCAGTGGCTGCCTCATTCTCAAGAGGGGGAAATGCGATCACTAGTGAAATAGTTGGCATCAAGCGCTTCTGAGCAACTTATTTTAGAAATATCTGAAAGCAAGATCGGATTGGAGGCCAAATGAAGGCTCTACAGGACAGGGAATGAGGGGTCCGGGCCAGTGCGATCGGGAGATCAAGCCGGACCCTGAGTCCGCGAGGCCCGCCCTGAGTGCCGGGGGGAGCGGCGATAACCCGCGGGTAAGATCACCAGCGCGAAGCATCCCTCTTAACCTCCTCCGCGTGCTGACACCCTCCCCCACCCCCTCCGCTTCTGCGGGAAACCATCCCGACCAGAACCTGGTGCAAGCAACCTTGGCTCAAGACGCAGCCAAAGAACGCGGAGTGCCGTTGCTCAGCCCAACTTTAAAGAGACCGGAATTCCCGGTCCCCCGTACGCCACTGCCCGCTGCCCCCTGGTACTGACCAGTTCCTTCTTCCTCTTCTCTTCTTTCACATCTGTCTTCTTGATCTCCGCCTTGAAGGCCTCCGCCTCGCCGTTCTGGTCGTCCTTGGCCAGCAGGTCCATGAGGTAGGCGATGTAGCTGGTGGCCAGGCGCAGCGTCTTGATCTTGGAGAGTTTGGTGTCGGCGGGCACGTTGGGGATGCACTCGCGCAGTTCAGCGAAGGCGCTGTTGATGCTCTGAGTCCTGCGCCGCTCCTTGCGGTTGGCGGTGCCCCGGCGCTTCACCGGGCGCGGCCCCCCCAGGCCCGGGGGCCCGGCGCCCGGCGGCACCCCCCCGTAATGGGAGTGGTCCAGACCGGCGGCGCCGCTGGCGTACTCGGGACTGTAGGACAGGGCCATGCTGTAGTCGGGGGGCGACATCTCGGGGTGGCCGATGAGCCAGCCATGGAAGTAGGGGTTCTCCTCGTGGCTGCAGCGGCTGGCGGCGGCGGCGGCAGCGGCGGCGGCGGCGGCGGCGAACGGATAGCCCTCATGGTGCACCACCGGGTGGTGGGGGAAGCCCCCCACCAGACTCATTTCGCTCTCCGCGCCCCTCCACGCGCCCCAGCGTGCGCACAGTCCCGCCGCGCCCTCGGCCCGGGCCCCCGCTCCGGCGCTCGGCGGCCTCCCCCCCCCCCCAGCCCCCAGCCCCCGGGCGCCCCGGCCGGCCCGGCAGCCGCAGAGGGGGCTGCTGCAGCCCGGGCCCCGGCCCCCCGCCTGGCCCGCGGGGCCCGCCTCAGCAGCGCCGCGGCCGCCGGCTCCCCATAGGGCGCGGCGAGGTGGTCCCGGCACCGTGCGCCCCTGGCAGCCGCCGCTGCCGCCGGCTCCCGCCTCGCTCCACGGCCCGCTCGCGGGCTTCTGCTTCCCGGGCGTCTGCGGGCAGGCACAGTCCTCTCGTGCTCATGCAAAGGTGCCCGGGCTCCGGCTGGGCTGCTCGGAGGAGTCGCCGGGCTCCGCGCCCCGGCCGCGCGCCCGGCGCCGCTGCTACTCGGAGTCCCGGGGCGAGTCCAAGCCGCGGCTGGAGGAGCCGGCGGGGTCGACTGCTCACTGTGAAGCTACCTCCATGCGACCCTCCCCTTCCCGCCCTTTCCCCTCCCCCCACCAGCCTGATCTGGGTTCTTGGGCGCTTATTGTTTTAATGAATTTTTGGTTGTTGTTGTTTTGGTCCTTGAATGTGATTTTAGCTGCGAGTAACGTGTCCCGCGCTCCTCTCGGGCTCCCTCGGAGGGTTTTCAGAGAGGTCTCAGTGCATCCATTTTCTCAGATCCTCTCCTTCTTTCGGGGGAAAGGATCTGGGCCCTGCAGGCGCCCTGGAGCGCGAAGGCGGCGGCTGGGGCTCGGAGGGGTCTGCGCGGCGGCCTTGGGAGCTCCCGGGCGGCGGCGGCGGCGGTTCTCCGGGACTGGACACCGTGAGGGGAGCAAGAGGATTTTCCCAGCGAGATCTCCATGTACAGCTACATCTTTAGGGCCGCTCGGGTTAATATATGTCGTCAGAGGCTCCTCACGCCAATCCCGGGGCGGCGGGGGCGGCGCCTCGCGCTCTCTGCAATAAAACTTTTTGATGTTCTCCTTGCTAATTGCCGAGGTCCTCATCCAGGATTGGCTGCCCCTTCATAACCAGAAGATAATTAAAACGAGGGGGGGAGGGTTAAAAAAACTTTTTTATCAGCCGGAGGTTAATGCAAGTGTTTAACAGATGCTTCACTATTAAAATATTTTCCCCCCAAGTCTCAAATATCGGAGAATCTTAAACCAGGTACGGTATCACTCCGCTTTCTTTTCTGGTTTAAAAAAAAAAAAAAAAAAGGAAGCAGATATTGCTTTTCGAAGTGTTTTGTAGGTAACCGAGGCAAGAAAACCAGAAGGCAGCGGGCGCAGTTCCGTGCGGGGCCGGGAGCTGAGGCGGCGGGCGGTCCCCACGGAGGCGCGTCTCCAGCCCAGGCGGGCGCGGGGCCCGGGGCCCGGGGCACGGGGCGCGGCGGGGGCACGGCTGCGGCTTTGACCTGGGCACGCTCTGGAAACGCCCGCCACAGCGTCGCTGGACTTACCCACCATCACGTTACCCAGGCCAGGGCCGTCTTGGGTAGCTCATGTTATTGTGGCTGCTTTTGCAGATCATGGTGGAGACCCCGGGACCGACGGCCAAGCCGATTATAAATACTCTTACTTCCATGTTCTTCAGGGACACCAGCCCCAGCGAAGGAAGACCTTGAGCTATTTCAAAGCGCAGACACCTCGATTCCCCGAATTTGTTGTGTGGCCGGTATCGGTGTTCCCCTGGTTTAACTAGCCAGTCTGGTAAGTAACTGAATATTTTTTACAGCGTGTTCTGAGCTTATTTTCCAGTTTTTATGAACAAACATATAAATACATCTCGACATTCCTGCCTCTCCCATAAAAGCGGGCATCTGTGGAAAGCAGGTTTAGTTATCGGAGGGGAACCATTAAACACCAGTTTAAGAGGCAGGCCGGGAGGACGGCTCGTGGATGTTTAGACTGCTGGCCTTGGTGATCTTGAACGCATTATAACCGAAAATGGATCTCCACTTGTAAGTCACCCGGCCGCGGGGTACCGGGGCCGCGGTGCCCCGAGCGGCGTGAGCGTCTCCAGAAAGCTCGCAGGAGGTTGGGGGTGGTGGTGGTGGTGGTGGACGGTGGCAGGAACTGAAATGATCCCCGGGGCTTGGCCAGGAGCCGCAAGGGGAGGCTGATGTGTAGCTGAGGATTCCGCCCAAAGGGTCGGTGTGGAAAAGGGTGTCTACAGGAGCCCGCGGGCCGTAAATTAGAGGGAGCCCACGCGGAGTGTGCAGGAGCCCGCGCTGAGCCTGGGACTTGCCGCTGGGCCTGGCGAGGGTCGCCCGGGGGAGACCAACTACACTACCTTGGGCGTCGTCTCTGGCAGGCAGGCGGAGTCAGGCCCCAGGCCGCAAAGTGAGTCCCATCCCAAGGACTCAGCGAGCACAGTCCTTTTCTTGCCTGCTGCGTGCGTTTTGCGGGGTACACGGTTGGGGATGGAAGGCCAGGTCAGCACGAATAGAGGGCGGGGTTGGGGGGTACCCAACTCCTGAGCTACCAGGGATTGGGGCAGCCGCCAGCCACTAACCCCAGAGCCCTGGGCAACAGCTTTGGGAAACATGTTTTAGGTTTTAGGTGGCCGGGCTGCAGGAGAGGGAAAGGAACCCAGGGAGGATCGTAGAAATCCAGTCTGGAAGTCCTCATGACGGCCCATTCAGTCCCTTCAGCAAGGGGTCAGTTTCCCTGGATGCCCCCAGCAGAGGTGTTAAGGCAGAGGACAGGAGGTGGGGAGTGGCTGAAACCAGACTGGTTGGTAAGTGCCCTTTGGGCTCAGAACAAAATAGCCACCTATAGCTTCGAACCCCCACCTTGGGTAGGTCTGCAGTTTTGAGCACAAGGAGAGTCTTTTAAATACCTTGTTCTTCAAGGAAAGAATATAGGTAGTGTGGTCAGGCTTCTGTTTACATTATCACCAGGGGAGGCCAACCCTAAAAGTGTAAATACTGGTAGTTCAATCCTCTGACATTTGATACATTTTTAAAAAGTCTGTTTATAAAAACACATCTAGGCCTTGGGAGCAGGTAGACAAAGTAAGATGATTGCACCCTGGCTGGGAACGGATAAAAATGCAGGGAAAGTAGATGCAAGCTGCTTTCAGGCCAGGGGGAGTTTGGGGAATTGAAAGGAAGAGGAAGAGGCCAGGCAGAGGGCTGAGCGGGGGACTGGGATGCAGTGTCCACCAGAGGCGAGGAGCCTCCATGGGAAAGGCATCAGAACTTGCCACTTTCAGCCTTTCCCATGCTCTTTTCATTGAAACAAAAAATGGACGAACCCCTTCATGGTCCCAGAGAGCCCGGCAAGTGATAGAAGAGATGGACAACATGGGACAGAAAAAAGTCATAAAAGATGCTAATCTGAACATCCATTCTCATTGACAGTGTCATTATCAGTTAATTAATGTGATTCGAGGGTCTAGGGCTTCATGAATCTCCGAAGGCCAAAATGCAGAGGCTACAGCCCTAGAAAGGGGGCTTGGAGGCAGGGGACAAATGGGAGAATTTTAGGGTCCCTAACTGGCTGAGTTCCACTCTGAATGCACAACCGAGTCCACTTTTTTCTGTTAGTGCTGTCTTTGGGACATTTTGCTCTGGGTCTAGTGGGATGCTGGATTAGTCTGCTACTTTGCAAAGCTGTGAGGCAAAGATGCCATCTCAGGTTTGCCCCCAGTTTAGGTGGCCTGTGCCTTCTGAGGGGCTACTGATGGAGCTGGTGGCAGTGGTGGTGATGGAGGGGAAAGTGGGAAAAGTAAAGGAGGGGGAAGTTCCTGGCTTAGTTATCAGCCCAGGGACCCCATCCTGGTCTGCAATAGTGTGGCCTCTGGTGTGCTGCTCCCCAAAGGGCATGCATTCCGAGTACTCCAGGGGAGGTGACACGATTCAGGCTGAGGACCACTGAGCAGCTGAGAAGATGCAGGCTGGGGGCCACCTGGGGTGCCTGCAGGAGGAATCCTGCAAGGGTGAGGGCGTGCTAACATCTTCCCCTTTTCTGAGGCCCTGAGCTGAGCTGCAACCAGTCTTACCTAGGCGGGGAGACTGCTTCACAGGAGGGGGGCTGGGGATGATCTTTGCGATCCTTGTAGCTGATGGTGTACCCACTGTGCTGCACATTACATCTGCCTTTTTCAGCTAAGCAGACAGAACTGGGGTCCAACATTTATTCTGGGCCCGTGTCTCCTGTCTCTTTTCCCTCAATCCTACCCCTTCCCCTGAAAGGGAGTCAAAGGGCACGGGAATGGCTGCACACTCCCTTGCAAACGTTCTGGTATTGTGAGATATTACTTTTAAAATAAATCTGGTTTAAACTAAATATTTTCTTAAAAACTTCAGTCTGTTTTTAGGGAAAATACAGATCTTTTCGAGGTATTTATTATTTCAAAGGCAAGGGCAGTTTGTATCTTGTGTTTTGCTCATGAGAACTCAAAATAAACTGGACCTGAAAATAACCAGGCCAGAGGGCCATAAACACACATTTTATGTTTACGGGAATTATGGCTCAATTCCCTTCAGCATCTTTCAAATCTCGTTTTCCCTTATTTTCTTAACCCACGTAGTGGAAGTGACTCTGGGCATTCCTTTAAATATCTATAATGCTCTTCTGTGAGGTGAACCCCAGAACGTGCTAAGAGGCCCAGAAAGGACATGAAACCCAGAGAGTGGCAGCAAATGCAGTGTGTTCTGGAAGACGCCACCCCAGCCTCACCTGCTCCAAGGATGTGCTTCTTGTGACGCCCTAATTGCTCTGCATTTCTGTCTGTCAGAGGGTGGGGTTGAGTCCTTGTACCTGCGGGCCACTTAGCCCCAGAACCTCTAGGACAATCTAGAACCAGACATATTGTCTGAAGTGGCAGCAAGAGTCTCCCCTAACTGGGGTTTTGTAGCCCCTCCCTTTCTCGTGTACCTTTTGGCGAGTGACAGTGGCCCCGGAAACGTGGGGGTGCTCGAAGTACACACTACAAAGCAGAATCAAGTTTGATCGGACTCACGTCTGTTTCAGAAACGAAGGGCAGGAAGAGCTGCCCTTGGCTCTTCGGAGGTTTCGTTTCTCGTGAGCATTTTCTTGTTGGATTTTGGGGTGGGCCTGGGGTATTTGGTGAGCGAGCCCTCGTCCCTCCTCTTTCCCATCCGAACGGATCTGTGGCGACAGGGTGGGGAGGGGCTGATCCAGTTGCAGTGGTGACTCTGGAGGGGCTGATTGCTCCGTGTTGATCAGGAAACAGTTAAGTCAGTGGAGAAAATTGGAACTTGCTGGGTGCTTGTAACACCCCCCCCTGCATTTAGCCCCTCTCTCTCTCTTTCTCTCTTCTCTCCTCCCTTTCTACCTTCCTTGCCCTCTCTACCTCCTTCCCCTTTCTCTCCTTCCCTTGCTTCTAATTTGCCTTCCAGCAATGTTTGGATTTATAGGGGTTTTGGTGTCATAGAACCTGAAAGTGGTGAATAAGACACTGGCTCATCCTTAAATAAAGTCCTTTAGAAAAATATTTTTAAAAATTGAAATATGACTGACATATAACATTGTGTACAATAATTAAGGTGTACACTGTACAAGAAACATCTTAATGTCCACTATGATGGGTGGTGGGAATTTGCATTTTCTCCAAATAATCAATGACTAGATCTTCATATTAACTGGCAAATGTGCTGCTGCTCTGGAAGGTCTTTGTTGATAAGGGGGAACCTTTGCCAGGTATCCACATGTGTCTGTAAAGCTAAAATCCTTACTCAGACTGAAGGGAACAAAAGGTAATGCACATGAAGGGGCCTCACTCTGGGCGGCATGATGTATACATACATGGGAAGTGTTACTAATGTAATTATGGCGGTCCTAAGAGGTATGATAACTCTGATCTTCGCTACTTTGTAGTAAAATATAGATGGAGTTTAGAGCAGAAGTGCTGTAAGAAAATACACCTCACAGGATTTATGTCAACTACTCACTCACATTCTTGTTTCAATCAAATCACCTACACACACAAGCAATATTTTCTTCCAAGCTGGGAGGAGAGCATTCAACATGCAGAAGAGGAAGTAATTGTAATTTTGCATACACGCTCTAAGGAAATGGTAAGGAATAGACTTCAGCTAGTCTGCAATACAGTCTGCGGTTCATAATAAAATATGAAAGCAAATGGCAGCTTGAAGTGCAGGGCTTTGGACAAACCACTCAAGTGACTGAAGGGTCTGTTTGTGTCTGGAAGCCCCGGTGCCTTCCCAGTTCTAACTGCAGTGTGGCTCGCATTCCTGTTCTGAAGCCTCCTTTGCAAATTCACAGAGATAGATTTCTCTAGCCCTGGCAGTTGCTTCCAAACCCTTGCTAGTTTCTTCTGGGGCCTTTGCTTCTAGACGAGGGCTCGCCATGATGGCTGGGTTTCAGGTTAACAAAAAGAAACCGTTTTATTGTCGATATTAATGGCAAACCTCGATGTTTACAAGGCTTGGGTTCAGCAGATCAAAAGCAGCTTGGCTTGACTTCTCAATATTCTCTGGAGCTTAGACAATTAACTGCAATTTTGCTCCTAACGAAACAACACAGGGAAGTTCGTTCCAGAAACGCTGAAGGTAGTCTTTCAGCAGAGATTTTTTTTTTTAACCTGTGTACAACCTGTCAGAATCTAAAACATTTGTCCACTGAAGCTGAGCTGAGTTTTGAAGGAAACCTCCTTAAGAAAATGTGTTGGCAAAGTGTCTTCATTTGCAACGCCACGAGCCTGTTCAGCCCTGCATTCCAGCTTGCCTTTCTGGATCCGGCAGACTGAGGTCTCCCTGGTAATTTGGGTACACCGAGTCTCCAGTTAATGACAGATAATCAGCCTTTGGGTCATTCGGTCATTCTCTTATTACAAACCCCTCCTGCTCTCTCTGATCTCCTTTCAAACTATATTTCACACAAACAAATAAAGCAAGACAGGGACAAGTTCTTAAAAGAGAGAGAGAGAGAAATATTAGAAACTCCCGATACAGAATGCTACACAAGGAAAGGCAAGCTAAAAGAGGATAGGAAAGGACATCTTATCCAAATGAACATGTTGTGTACAAAACATTAAAGGAAAAGGCTCTGGATTCTGTTAAAGTGACAGAAAATTAAAATAAAAATAATAGCAGGCAGAAAAGTTATAACATAAACAGAGAAGGCAGGATGCTTGCTGGAAATGCGCAGCACCAGGAGGCGAATTTGTTGTTACAGATTATATATCTGCAGTGTGATTGGACAGGCGAGACTTTGTTTCATTTTCCAGGAGAGAATGGATTTCCTTTTAATACTTGTGTGAGTGCCCACTTAAGTTAACACAGGCCAAAACCTCGAGGAACAAAAAATGGAATTGCATTCTTATTGCAAAGCATCCAACTTCAAACGAAGGAATTGGTTGCATACAGAAAAAGCAGAATTCCATTCAAAACACATTGAGAGACTCCACTAGACGCGGATGACTGATGCTTTTTTTGTTTTGCTGACAGAAGGCACAGATCATTCTTGGGGAAGTACCAACGAAGCCAGTTCTCCCCCCCCCCCCACGGGGTCTCCATTTGCCCAGTCTACCTTTGGCTGTGACTCCAGAAAGACAAACTTCTGATTGGCCAAGGTACATCTCTGACCACATCCCTCTGGGAAAAGCCTGGGAACGTGTAGCTCTAATAAGAGCCCTGGGGAGAGTGCCCCAGTGCCATTTTCCTGCCCCTGCCTGCCCTTAACAGTCCCTTTTGGCCCAAGTCCAGGGCTCCTGAAAGGTCAAAGTCTAGCCACTGGTGTCATCTGCAAGCCCTAAGTTTTCAGTCCTAAGAGAGACTGGAACTTATTGCTCAGGACTCGATCGACTCAAGTTCTCCAAGTCAGAGGGGCAGCTGGGGGATCAGCAGGTGACGAAAGTGTGACCCCTACATTGTCCTCAGCTGTGTGTCTGGCACCCCTCGACTTGCCAGCGGAGCTGGCAAACAACCCATGTCTCTCCCATGTTAAAGAATCCACACTTCTTGGTTTCTTCTAGGCCCAGAGTAAATGCCACCTCCTCCAGGAAGCCTTTCCAGGTACGGCTTTCCTTCTCTTTGCTCCCGCAAATCAGGTCTCCCTTCTTCTGAACACCGTTCTGATGCCCTCTCCCCCACCCCCATCTGCTCTCCGGTCGATCTCTGGGCACACATCTTTCCCCTCCTGTGACTGTGGGTTGCCTGAGAGCCCAATCGAGGCACGGTACCCAGTAGGTGTTTAAACAACTTGTATAAAGGATGACAGAGAAATCTGGTGAATTCTGCGTATCCCAGTTGCAATCGGATTGCAATTTTCTTTGTTTTGAAAGCGACCAAAACAGCGGTGGAGGCGGACGTCGTCCCGAAGGGCACAGACCTTCATCTCCAAGCCCTCGGGAGAAGCAGGGGAAGGCTCCTCGGCTGGACTGCGCGTCCGAGGGCTCCGCATCGCCGGCGTGGGATGGAGAGCGGGGACCCAGCCCGGCCTGGTCTCCCCTGGCCCCTCCGCCTCCTGAGCTGTGGAGCAACAGCTGGCCGGGCGGACGCCGCGGACTGGTCTCTCTAAGCCTTGGTTTCCGCATCTGAGCAATGGGGTAGCTACGCCGGCCGCGAGGATGCGCATGAAAGATGAATGAGATCAAGGCGCGCGCGGGGATGGATGCCGGACGCACAGGCTGCGCGCAATAAATGTGTTTTCTCTTCCTTCCTCTTGCGTGTCTCGCCTTGACTTCCAGCCGCCGCGACCCCCAGCCCGACAACCAGGGCCGGGTCGCGCCGGAGGACGCCACCGGGCCTCGGGGCTCCAACCGCGCGGGCCGCGGGCGCGGGGGGGAGATGCGAGCGCGGGCGGAGTTTAGGCCGCGGCGGGCGGGAGGTCACAGCGCGGGGCGGGACGGGACGGACCTCTGCTCCCCCTTCTAACCCCGCTCGGCTCCGGGGCTTTTCGCCCGAGGCGGGCAGGAAGGGGTTAACGGCGCCCCTCCCCCCCAGCTTCCCTCCCGAGGTCTCATTAGGGAACCCTCCCCGCTATTTTCAACATTTCCTCAATCAAGGGCCTTTAAATAGAGCTGCACAAACAAATTGGCGGCAAAAGCGTAGATCTTGTCACGATTGAGACCAATCCAATATTTCAGCCTTGTTTGCTTTGCAATTACGGGCAGGCTTGTGGCTTCGGTGCCACCGGGGCAAATCTGCCGCCGCCCGCTTTCTCTCCGCACCGGGCGGCGGAGGAAGGACCCGCGGAGCCGGCGCGGGGAGGGGCGGGGGGGGGGGGCGGAGAGGAGGCGGGTAGGGGGCCGGGCCGGGGGCCTTTCCTGCACCCGGTGCGGAGGCGCGCGGAGCCGGGTTGAAGGGCTTCTCCTTCCCTGCCGAGCGGCTGGGGCGCACCTAGTGGTAACGCACCGTGCAGCGCGCACGTGGAGTCCAGGGTGTGCCCTTGCCCAGCTTCCTTTCTCCCCTCTTCCGTTCCCCTCTCGTCCATCCCATCCCATTTTCCTCCAGTACTTCCAGGCGGTTCCTGGATTTCCCGCTCTCTCGCTGTTAAACCTACTAGCCGGCTCCGTGCCGTTTTCCTTGGCTGCTTATTCTTGTTTGACTTTTTGTGCAAAGTAACTTTAACTCGGTTGCAGGAGGATAAAGCTCCAAGGCGTCTGGCCCGGCTCCCGCGGCCGCCCAGTCCTCCTTGAACCTGCTCCTTCGGCCACTGCGGGCTAGCCTGCCTAGTTGGTCTCAGCAGAACAGTAGTTAACTCGAACCAGGTCCTGAGCCTTATATTTCACAGATAATTATATCTTGGCTGCTGTTTCACAAAATTGTAATATTTGCTTTATACCGAGGAGCATTTTTAAAGTCAAAAACAAATACTACTTTTCAAAAAGAAAATATGATAATAAATCTCTTTTTATGGATTTTCTCTGTATATGTGGAAACCACATGATTTAACTCCTCGACCCCCGCCCCTTCAGGCGGAGCTGAAGTTATACAGATACCGGCTTTTAATACACAGTCTCCGTGTCTGGGGGGAGGCACCTGCATTTGTCACGTTCAGTATAGTTTCCAAGATTTCCCACCCCACCCTGACCTGTGTAGCTGAGTGCAACAAGGACTATAATATAATTAGGTCTGAGATGTGAGGTCCATTTTCATACGAATTCAAGAAAGATGGGCAAAACGGGTAATTAATCCACAGTTTCATATTATTTTCTAAATGACTACCCATTTTCCTCTCCTGTCCAGATGGGAAAGTTGAGGCAAAGAAATATTTTTTATGAGACTCTGGGGTGCATATTAAAATATGCTTCTAATGCATTAAGGATCTACATTTCTTTGCTGGTGGTTATAAAAGAAATCCATAGCTGTTCTTGCCAATTAGCAATCTCTTTTAGGATTTTTTTTTTTTATAATCCCACCTTCATTCTTTTAGATTGTCATGTTATGGTTCTCAATTTTATTTAAAGCGAACTTCAGAAATGATGGTTTCATGAAATTGTGCGATGACAAAGACACAGAATAATATTTCAAGTCCGTGAGTCACGCACACCTGTGTGTATCTCTCATGCAGTTTTCTAGCTGATTGCTTTAGTATGTCTATAAGAAATACAAAGCAGTAGCTAGAAAGAATTCTCTCTTCACCAAAAGAATTGGCTTGACATATTATTCAGTGCACAAATTATATTACTTTCATGTGTGTTAATCTGTTTGGTATTAAAACTGCTAGAGTGTTTTAACCATTAACGTGTTTTACCACGCCACTTTCAAATGCGTGATCTCAAATAATTATAAAGGTTTTGATGTTAATCCCACGTTAAGTGAACAACTATGAAAATACCCTGAAAGCATTATTATGCTTATATAAATGCCAACAAACACAACTGTACGGGGAACACGATTACTTTTTATCTGACATTATCGTATAGGGCTACACATTCATTTCTTTTTAAATCAGAGCAGTTTTCAATTACTTTTTAACAGATTTTTTTTCAACACAGCATTTTGCAGTGCCTACAAACCACAGCAACTTTGTCCTGACAGATACATATTTTTCCTTCATTGTTATTCATTAGCTTCTTTGCAAACTCACTATAATAGAATAATATCAAAATATCAAAATATAGAAAACAATTATTAGACTCTACATATTTATTTCAGTAAGCTAATGATATTAAAATTAAAAACATGTGCCTGGCATATAAATGTTTCTCTAAGAATTCTTTTTTGGATGCATAGTTATTATTTTTTAAACCAACTCAGATTTTCAAGTACTGATTTTTTCCCTCTAAACAGGCATTGCATTGTTTTAAACAGTAGCTCCTGGAACAGTACCACCCTTAGTATTTTAGACTTTCAAACGACAATTGGAATTGGATAAATACTTTCAGCTGGGAGCACTTTCCTAATACCTTTGTAGGTAATAGGAGTCCCTACTTGTGCTGGGTGACAAACAGACAGTGCACTGGACATTCAGATTCTACCCTTTGTAGAATCTACCAGAAAATGGAGTTTTCCTATAAGATTGCTGTGGTCCAACTAAAAAAAATTCTGTGAAGATGTAAAATCAGAGAAAATGAGTGAATGCTTTTTCTCATGACAGTTATGAAATGATGGCTGAAAGAGGGATGCAAAATATGACACAGGAGGAATGCAGAAACATAAAATCTAAAAAAGCAAGTTTCCTTAGGCAGCATCTGGCTCTTTGTGTAAAACAGGAGAGGCATGGGTTGGATCTGCAAAACCAAATAGATTGAGTTTGTTTGTTTCAATTCAGTGATTTTTAAAATAGATTTTTCACTGCGTGAAGAATTCCCATCAAGGAAATAGATACAAATTCTTGTATATAGAAAATACTAGCTACCTTGACTTTTCATATTGGGTTAAAATATAAGGACCTTTAACCTACTATACCACTGTTCTTTCTAAATGAATGCATGTTGTCATAACTGGTGTCAAAAAGCATTGATTTTTTTTTCAAATTGGTGTTGAACTGGAGTAATAAAGTATATCCATGAGAGGATTTCCATAAACTCCAACTTGTGGAGAAAACGGTGAAAAAACTTTTTCAGGAAGAAACCAGACAACTTTAACTGTTATTAATCTGGGATAAATAAAGTGAGAAACTGCCTCCTTACATTCCTAGTAATTCTTTCCGCTTTTCCAAACATTGTTAAGTTCTCTGAATCTTGTGCTAGTCAAGTCAAGATGATGTTAGCAATAAAATTACATAATCTAATCAAGCGGCTACTTTTGCTTTATTACAAATACGAATTATATGTGGGCTGTTGAAGTGCTTTTTCTTTGAAAGCTGAATTTTTCCTTTTTCAGATACAGTGATATTTAAAGAAGTGTTCATAAGGATAAATATGATGGTTCATCAAGGTTAAAATAGCTATGTCAAAAAAGTGGCATTTGAGTCCACTTGGTGTGGGCTGTGATTTGTAAATTATAGTGCTTTTAAAATCACGACCTAGGTATTTGTAATGAGAACATCTGAGAAGAGAACTCAAGTGTCCTCAGTGTACACAGGCAAGAACATCTGAATATGAGGAAATAACTAGATCACACGCTGAATTTTTCTCATTGCCTTGGATGCTAGGAGTTTTAAATTATAACCTCAGATACATCTGAACAAATAGTAAGCCAGATACATTTTATTGTATTATTGTTTATACCCTGCTTCATGTTAGAAATAATTTACAGCAGTTTTTTTTTCAAGGATTGGTAAGATAAATTTTAAAAAATCTGTTTGTAAGAACAATTCCTGTAAATATAATTGTAATTTATTTTGTTTATTACAAGATCAGTGATGTGCTCTGGTAAATATTTGATCCCAAGATGAAGCAACATCACATTTGGAATGAGACAAATTTGAGAAATTAATTTTGAGTACATTCTAAAGAAATCTTAGTACATACAAATAAAGCTATTATTACGCATGGCGAGTAGCATTAACACAGTGATTAAGAACACGTCTCTGGAGTAGGAGGCACAATTTTGAATCTTGACTAGAGCAGCTATCAGCATGTGATCTTGGGAGAATTACTTAACCATCCTTGGCTTCAGTTACACTTCTGTACGAGGTGGATAATAATCGTCTATCACAATGTCATGATGAACCTGTGGTGAGATGATTCACATGAGGCTCTTAATTGAGAGTCTGGCATACAGTAAGTGCTTAATAAACACTAGCTCTTCTCTTTGGCATAGCTGTACAATGTTAAAGACTGGCATGCCAGGTACATTCCTGAAAGCTGTGGAATGTGGGGATGTTGACAGCCCATGGACTTCATAGAGATTTGTATGAGGAGATTGACTTCCAGACCTCAATGTTGACAGGGTGAAGGAAGAGTCTCCTGTCTGTCTTTAGAGGCTCTAGAAAGGTATGGGGAGGTGGTCTTAGTGAGAGCAACTTGCTAAACTGGCAGAGGAAATCTACCTGCATGCCATCTTGGCCATGTGTGGTGGTCTGTTGGTGTCTAACACAAAGGTCTAAACTAGGAGAAATGACATCTGAAAGAAATAGGATACCCTAGGTCAGTGGTCTCCTCATTGTTTTAATTGTGCACCCCAAGAGTAAAACATTTAAAGGATATTTATTGGCAAATTATATACCTGCACTACTTTACTGATATATTATGTACATTATATACCTATGCAAAAGCGAAACTACAAAAGGGCAAGATAAAGAAAAATTAAATAATAGGTTTAAA